GGGAGGGAGGGAGGGAGGGAGGGAAGGACTGGAGCTACTAAACAGGCAGCCAAGCTAAGTGCCTGAAGGACCCCATCCTATCAACGAGCGGGAGTAATTGCTTCAGCGGCCCGTATCCGGCCCAGGGGCCGTAGTTTGAGGATCTCTGATTTAGTGCAATATTTTTAAAAAATGCAAAAATGCAAAGGTTCTTCTGCGGACCACCAAGATTTTCTTGCAGACCCCCAGTTGGTAGGGAACCTCACGAATGACTCTTTGTTGGTAGTGTTGGTCCCTCGAGAGCGTAGCCCAGGAATTCCTAAATTCCCAGCCCCTGACTGAGTCCGGCCCTCTCTTTTTCAGGTGCTGCGGGATCTCAGGTGTTACCCGTACCTGCGTTTGCTGATCTGCAGCATCTTCGTCCCCAAGTGCATCCCGGGAGGGGGCACCTTGCAGCCCTGTCGCTCCGTGTGCCTGGGGGCGGAGGAGCACTGCCGGAATCCCCTGGCCCACTTGGACATCCTCTGGCCCTTGAACTGCAACATCCTGCCCGACTCCACCAACCCTCTGAAGTGCTTCTTGCCTTGAGGAGCCCCCCACCCCGTGCCCAGTGCCCAGACGAGGAGGAGGAAGGGAGGGAGGGAGGGAGGACCAATTGGAGGCAGCCAGGAGAAGTCCCAGTCCATAAGAACCTTTGATCCGTTCACCTCGCAGGGAGCCTTTACCGGTTGAGCTCGAAAATATCTCCGGGGAATTCCTCCTCCGTTGAGTCTCCTTCTGGGCTCCACTTCTGTCTCTGTCGAATTATAGATTGCAAACAGATCGAGGGATCTCTCTGTCCTGGAATTCTAGGTCGTGAAGTTGGAAGGGATCTCAAAGGTCATCTAACCTAACTTCCACTAAGTCATCTCTGACAGATCACCATTCGAGGTCTGAAGATCTGCGGCCATGGAAAGCTCAACACTTCATTGGCCAGCCTTCTACCCTTAGCTGAGGGTTGCGCAATCGGAACGTCCATCTTCGTCTCAACTCCCACGGATTCTGCAGGCAGATCTGTCAACTAAAAACTAGGACTGTGGTGGAGAACCAATGGCACGCGTGCCCAAAGTGTCCCGTGGAGCCATGTTGGCTGGCATGCGCAGAGTTGCCCGATCCTCTTCCTGGTTCCTGACGCGCATGCGCATGTGATGATCAGCTGATTTTTGCGCACATGTGGCAGAGCTGGAAACTGGAAGAGCTGGTCTTCCGTTTTCCGCTATGCACATGTGCACCAGCCAGCGCATCAGCATGTGCGCATGCAAGCAGTGGTGGGTTCCTGCTGGTTTGGCCTGGTTCAGCCATGCCGGTAGTGGCTTGGCAGTCTGGATTGCTGGAACCGGCAGTGACCAGGCCTGCCATGCCCCCCCCAAACTGCTTCCCTGGTTGGTGCCATCTTGTTTTTCAATTCTGCTCATGCGCAGAACAATTTTCATTGCATTGCCATGTGCGTGCAGTGTGCATCAAATGCATGCAGCTTGCACACAAGTGAATCAGCAGTAGGCATGTATCCCAGTAACCGGAAGACAAGCTGGCCGATGTTCCTTCTTTCTTTCTTTCTTTCTTTCTTTCTTTCTTCCTTTCTTCCTTCCTTTCTTTCTTTCTTTCTTTCTTTCTTTCTTCTTTCTTTCTTCTTTCTTTCTTTCTTTCTTTCTTTCTTTCTTCTTTCTTTCTTCNCCAGAATTCCCCAGCCAGCGAATGCTGGCTGGGGAATTCTGGGAGTTGAAGTCCGGACATCTTCAAGTGGCCAAGGTTGAGAAACACTGGCTTAGCGGCTATCACACCGGCGCTGAAAAAAAAGTGACTTGCAACTGGCCCTCATTCTATCACGGCCATGGGATCAATATTTAAGCCCTTGGCAACTAGCGTGTATTTGCGATAGTCGCAGCCGCCCAGGGACATACGACCGGCGTTCGCCGTCTTCCTAGCCCGTTTCTGACAAAGTCAAATGGGGGGAGCCCGATTTGCAAGAATAATGTAGGCCTACAGCGACTTGCTTAAACGACGGCGATGCAAATGGCTGCAAAATGGAGCGAGAGCTATTTAACAACCACCTTGCTTAGCGGTGGAAGATTTGGCCGTAAGTCGGGGACTATTTGCGTTAGGGAGATGCTGGAGAAAAGCATTGGCTTCTTGGCAGTGGTCCGGGCCACCAGGAATTAACAGAGAGCCATCCCCTCCTAATCTCCTAGTCTCAAAGGGGTCAGATCAAGGGTGTTGCACCCACCCACCCTCCACTCAAGAAGGATCTTGGGGCTGTTGAGGTAAACCAAGGCTAAGATGTGGGAGTTTAGGATGCCGGCATTTCCTGGGCTCCCTCTCAGGCGAAGACAGGGGAGTTCTGCCAGTAGGAGTAGACGAGGAACCCGGTGAAGGTGCTGTCTGTTTTCACGCTGGAGTAGAAGCCAGTGTACTCGCCCACTGCCACCTGCACCCAGACCTCGTCCTCCGGCTCCAGCCGCACCAGGCTCCCTCCGGACAGGGAGGTCGGCTTGGGCCAGTTGCCGTAGAACTGGAAGAAGGAGGCGACCGACTTGCCGTTCTTCATAATGTCGAACTGGAGGCTCGTCCGGTAGACAGTCGCGTGTACGGCGAAGTAGTACAACCCGGGGATTTCGCACATGAACTTGCCGGTGTTGCCGTCGTAGTGGCCTTGCTCGTTAATCAGGATGATGTCGAAGACAATGGGCACATCGGGCAGCGGCGGGCTGCGGGACTCGGAGCGCTTGGCGCTGAAGGCCGAACGGGGTGCCACCGCACACTCCCCCTGGGGCCCCTTCTCCCCTGGGAGCCCGTTGGTGCCGGGGCTGCCTGACTCCCCTCGGGTGCCCGTCAGTCCTGCGGGGATAAAAAGTAAAAGCAGAGTGAAGGTGAGAGGAAGAATGGAGGGTTAAACATGGGGGAAGGAAGGAAGGAGATGGGAATGAGAGGAAGGAGGGAAGGAAGGATGGAGAAAGAGATAGGGGAAGAAAGGAAGGAAGGAAGATGGGAATGATAGGAATGAAGGAAGGAGAACATAGAGGCAAGGACGGAAGGAGATGTTAATGAGAGGAAAGAAGGAAGGAAGGAAAGAAGGTAGGAAGGAGAGCATAGAGACAAGGAAGGAAGGAAAGAATAGGAATGAGAGGAAGGAAGGAAGGAGAAAGAGATGGGAGGGAAGGAAGGAAGGAGAGCATAGAGACAAGGAAGGAAAGAGATGGGAATGAGAGGAAAGTAGGAAGGAAGGAAGGAGAAAGAGATAGGGGAAGGAAGGAAAGAATGGGAATGAGAGGAAGGAAGGAGAAAGAGAAAGATGGGAGGGAAGGAAAGAGGAAGGAAGGATGGAGAAAGGGGAAGAAAGGAAGGAAGGAGATGGGAATGAGAGGAAGGAAGGAAAGAGAAAGGGGAAGAAAGGAAGGAGATGGGAATGAGAGGAAAGTAGGAAGGAAGGAAGGAAGAAAGGAAGGAGAAAGAGAGGGGAAGGAAGGAGAGAATGGGAATGAGAGGAAGGAAGGAAGGAGAAAGAGATGGGAGGGAAGGAAAGAAGGAAGGATGGCAAAAGATAGGGGAAGAAAGGAAGGAGATGGGAATGAGAGGAAGGAAGGAAGGAGAAAGTTAGGGGAAGAAAGGAAGGAGATGGGAATGAGAGGAAAGTAGGAAGGAAAGAAGACAGGAAGGAGAAAGATAAGGGAAGGAGGGAAAGAATGGGAATGAGGGGAAGGAAGGAAGGAGAAAGAGAAATGGGAGGGAGGAAGGGAAGGAAGGAAGGAAAGAATGGGAATGAAAGGAAGGAAGGAAGGAGAAAGAGATGGGAGGAAGGAAGGAAGGAAGGAAGGAAGGAAAGACAATGAAGGTTGAATAGCAATTGCAGCACGTATTTAACCCAAATCTGTAACATCAAATGAGGTTCATCCACAGAGTTCAGAAGAGTCAAGACCATGCTCATGATTGCATACCTGAACTCCCACCTCTTTATTTAAAAAAAAANTCATGGTCTTAGCTCCAGATTGCTTCCCTTCCCTTCTTCATTCTTCTATTCCAGGGGTGGCTTCACCTTTTCAGCGCCAAGTGCCAAAACGTCCACAATGCAATGCACGCGCAGTCTCCCTGCGCCCCACGCCCCTATGCATGCATGCAAAAAAAAGCATGCCACTCCCCCCATGCATGCGCGGCAGAGACCGGAAAACACACTGGCCAGCAGGAGGCACACACACCTGCGCGGTGGAACTGAGCTGGGGTGACGGCTGGCTTGGCCGTAGAGTGAGCTGTGTGTGTTTCTATTCTATTCCATTCCTTATTTTCTATTCTAATTCTATTCCATTCTCTATTCTATTTCATCATATTCTATTCCTATTCTATTCTAAATTATTATATTTTCTATCTTCTATTCTATATTCATTCTATGCTACTATTCTAAATTCTAATTCCATTCCACTCCATATTTTCTATTCTATTCTCTATTCTATTCTATTCTATTCCATATTTTCTATTCTCTTCTCTTGCATTCCACTCCATATTTTCTATTCTATTTTATTCTAATCCATCATATTCTATTCCTATTCTATTCTATCTTGTTATTGTTATCATATTTTCTATCTTCTATTCTATGCTACTATTCTATTCCATTCCACTCCATTCCATATTTTCTATTCTATTCTAATTCTATTCCATTCTCTATTCTATTCCATATTTTCTATTCTCTTCTATTCTCTTGCATTCCACTCCATATTTTCTATTCTATTCTATTCCATCATATTCTATTCCCATTCTATTCTATCTTGTATTGTTATCATATTTTCTATCTTCTATTCTATGCTACTATTCTATTCCACTCCATATATTCTATTCTATTCTCTATTGTATTTCATTCCATTCCATATATTCTATTCTATCATATTCTATTCCTATTCTATATTATTGTTATATTTTCTATCCTCTATTCTAAATTCATTCTATGCTACTATTCTATTCTATTCCATTCCACTCTATATTTTCTATTCTATTCTATTCCATCATATTCTCTTCTCTTCTATTCTCTTGCATTCCACTCCATATTTTCTATTCTTCTATTCTATTCTATTCCATCATATTCTATTCCTATTCTATTCTATCTTGTTATTGTTATCATATTTTTATCTTCTATTCATTCTATGCTACTATTCTATTCTATTCCATTCCATATATTCTATTCCTATTCTATATTATTATCATATTTTCTATCCTCTATTCTAAATTCATTCTATGCTTCTATTCTATTCTATTCCACTCCATATTTTCTATTCTATTCTAATTCTATTCCATTCCATATTTTCTATTCTATTCTATTCTATTCCATTCCATCATATTCTATTCTATTCTATTCTAATTCCGCTCCATTCTATTCTACTTCATTCCCAACAGATTCTTTTCCCTTCCCTTCTATTCCTTGATCAGTTTCCATCTATCTTTTTTCTCGTCCTGCCTTCTGGTGCTTTGGAAAACAAGATGACCCCCCTCTTCTTCGTGGCAGCCCCTCAAATACTCGCACCATCACATCCCCCCCCTCCCCTCCTTCTTTTCTCCCGACTGGCCAAACCCCAAATCCTGCCACCGTTCATCGTATATTTTCACCTCCGGTCCCCTAATCATCCTGGTTGCTCTTCTCTGCACTTTATACCAAAGTTTCAACATCTTTTTTTCTATCTTGGCCACCNCAAGATCCCTTTCACAGTTACTACTGTTGAGCAAGGTACCACCTATACTGTACCTGTGCATTTCGTTTTTCTTGCCTAAATGTAGAACCTGACTCATTTCACATTTTGCAATATCTGTTTTGATGCTCTGTGATTGTGGCTTCCGCAGAAGAGCCTGTGCCGGCGTGTGAAAGTACGCAAAAGAGGACTGGAGCGGAGTGCACTTAGCAAGATTTTTCATTCGTGTACATAAATCCCTGCCTGGCTTTTCGGGTGCCGCGTGCGGCTGTTGCAATGGCAGAAACGGCTTTTGCCCTTGGCGGTTAGTTTTGCGAGCGTTAGCTACACAGACCCACAATGCAGGGAAGTGGTACACGTGGGGTTTTTTTAAGGTGCACAGCAGAGAATGTGGCTTTCTGGAGCGGCCGGTTTTTCTCCCGTTTCCTTCCTGGTAGCTCCTCTTGCAGAATTTTTAAACTATATACGAAAGAGGTGAGGCGGTTTGAAAAATGTGAGCCCCAGAAATTCAAGATGGCCGCCACACCGTTGCGCTTTGAGTGAATCAAGTTTATATATAAAAGGAGGTTTGTCTCTGTCCTCAGGGACACCTGAGTGGTGCGAATGGGGGTGGAGAGCAGCACAACACAGTCCTTTTAGCAGTTCCACACCCATTTGCACCACTCAGGTGACCTTGAGGACACAGACAAACCTCCAAGTGGCCTCAATGACCCTCTAAAAGGATGCAAATGACCAGCTGTCTGCAAGGAGCATCAATCCTTCCATTCCCCTCCATCCAGTCAGAGCGGAAGGAGCTTCTGGGAGGAGAAGAGAAACGTCTTCAAAGGAAAAAAAAACCAAGAAAGTCCAGTTGCCTCCTGAAAAATCACCTTTGGGACAACTGTTACCTGGATGACGGAGAATCTTGCCTCACAGTCAAGAGGCTGTGATTTCGATGCTAGGTAGAGGCAGACGTTTCTCTCTCTCCGGGCACAATGAGAATATATTGGCTGGACAATACTCCGCACTGGCGACAGGGAAGGGCATCTGGCCATTAAAACGCTCTGCTAGCTCCATTCAGTAGCCCAGACTCCACCCTGCAAGGGATTATGGGGTCATTAAATGATGATAGGTAGGTAGATGGTTAGATACGTACGTACATACATACATACATATGTATAGATATATAGATATATATTTTTAACTTTTAGATAGATAATCTTATGATAGATAGATAGATAGATAGATAGATAGATAGATGATNAATTCTGAATTCTCAGTTCAGCTGAATTCCGATTTTCCTAAATTCTCAATTCTCCTGAACTTTTCAAGCAGACAGTTCTGAATTTGGCTAAATCCTGCTTGATTCTAAATTCTCAATTCTGCTAAGCTTTCAGAGCAGGCAATTCTGACCCAAATTCAGTTGAACTCCACTGAATTCTCCTCTCGATTCTGCTGAACTGTTTCAAGAAGACAATTCTGAATTTCCAATTCTCCCGACGTCTAAATTCTCTGTGCTGACAAATTTTTTTCAAGCAGGCAATTCTGAATTCCGTTGAATCCTGCTGACCTCTCCTAAAACCTCAATTTTATTAAACTTTTCAAGCAGGGGATCTTCCCTCGCTAGCCCAAAAAACCTCTCTAACCTTACTTGAGTAGAAAAAACGGAAGCTATAAAGAAAATCAAATAAACTTCTACTTTTTTCTCATCGGTTTCCGGGCCAAAGTTGTTACTCATTGCTAGCTTCCAGAAATATGACTGAATTTCAAGCCCACTCTGCTTCCTTCCTCTACACCATTGCAAGTTATTTCATTCAGTTCCATATTTGAATTTGAATTTAATAAAATTTATATGCCGCCCAATCTCGTAGGACTCCGGGCGGCTTACAAAATACAAGAATAAAATAAAAACTAAAATATAGGAAAAAGAAAAGATAGCTTTAAAAGCAACACACCATACACTCATACATCTTGCTTGCCCCATTATATTCCAGGCCTCCCCATCAATGAAATGCAACATGGTCCTTGCACAGTCCCAATGCGAAAGTCCTTCCCATATTTTTGGGAAGACTCCGCAGCAGAACAGTTAAGCTCCTGGAGAAGAAATTCCTGGAATAACAACCCGAAAGTGACTAAAATAAATTACTTAGACTTAGACTAACTTTATTGTCATCTTGAATGTACACTAAT